TATTAATGTTGGCATTTGACGTTATCATTTTGATTCTATGGAGTGCTGTCGACCACCCTTATATACATGTAACTGAATATCCATCGTATGTAAGTACTACATGTTTTGGTTTTCATTTCTTGTGAAGTTGTTTAACATTTCTATGGGTTCGTAGTCATTGCGATTGGTTTTATCAATTGTGAATTAAAACACCCCAAAACATGTGTTCAAGCCAAGTATAAAATGTGTTGATTGATTATTCCTTATTTCTTATCTCCATGGCGGCAATATACACATGTAACAATAATAGAAATTATACTCGCTTGATGCTATGCAGTGATTTATCAGTGTAGATTTAGAATTAGTGCCATATTGCCATGGAGATGAGAACATAAATGTTTCCAAGATTACGTTACGACGAATTAATTGTTGTGTTCCGAGTATACTATACTAAAGGTGATAGGGGAAGTTATCTGTAGAGACTCGGTACAGGCAAGCAGATAAAGTCAGTGATTCCACCAAGGAAGTTGAAATCTCTAATCGTTTACAAAATGTATCACTTCTACAATCACTGGTTGTTCCAACTATTCTAATAATAATGTTGCCCACCTTTTTGTGTCCAATTTCTGCATTATGTCATTTGTACCTAATTAATGTTTTTTTTACAATTTTTATGAATAAAATTTGAATAACGACTATGTACAAATCTAAAACAAAACGTAGCTGTTTTACAAGTATTAACTAATTCCATGGACCGGTCCGTACACACACACACACATATATATATATATATATATTGGTTTTCACGCCATACACTTCTGTCAATTACAGCCTGATCCAAGTGGAAGGGACGTGACGATCGTACCGGTAATATTGGAATGTATATCTGAGCATGACCTTGTATGGGTAATCTTACTATTTGGTTATAAAGGAATGGTATTGTTATTTGGTGTCTTCTTAGCATGGGAAACCAGACAGGTACATAGTACAACCACCGGGAATGTAGTGGGGGTATTTTAAATTGTATGAAATCACTGTTCATCGTTATATGTGATGAAATTGCTTAGATTTTGTATAAAATTGGATAAACTCATTCATTAATAGGATTAGTCAATTAATAGTTCAATGGCTGTCGTTAAGCTGTTAAATGTTATATTCTATGATTGGTGTATGTATATGATCATTAATTATACATAAACAGTGTTGTTAACACAAAACTTGTATTTTACTACGTTAAAGGTCAAATATCCTCAGCTTAATGACTCACGTTATATTGGTTTTGCTGTCTACAATGTCACAGTTATGTGTTGTATTGGAGTACCTGCAACTATGTTCCTCAGTCCTCTACAGAAGGATCTTCAATTCATTCTAACCTCCCTGTGTATTACATTCTCAACAACGGTTACGCTTTGCATTGTTTTTGTGCCAAAGGCAAGTTTACGTGTGACATCATCGCACTTATCTTAAATATCTTTTGCATTTCCCCGTGATATTTAACACCAGATTTAACAATTAAATGTAACATTTGCTATTCCAAAATGCATATGGTAATTATGAAAATGATTTATGGATGCATAGGGAATTCATTTGATTACAAATTATTCTTAATACCAATTTCTGAATTATCTCGTAAAAATCAATTTTTTTCCCACAAAACGAAAAAAAAAATCACAATGTCGAAAACGGACAGACTTTATATTAGTGTTGACAAATATACATGCAAGAAACCTGAAAAATCGTGTTTGCTAAATTGTAAATGTCCGTATCTCCTAACCAGATATTGGAATACCGTGACACCTTACGGTTTATAGATGCAGCACCACCAGCTGTCATGACGTTTACTCAAGGCACAGTTCACAATGACAGCGTATTCCCTCATACAAGCGGCTCGTGTAGACTTGCTGAAGAAGAACTCGTCAGGTACAGACAGATGTATCAGGGTAATGTAGATACAACCGTACGTATCCCAATTAGTATTATTATCTGATAAGTTCGCCTTTAATGCCAATTGTGACTTTAATTTATTATAATACCAACAATGGTGGCACATGAGTATAGCCAGTGTGCTGTATAGTCTATACTGTATGGCACTTATATATTTTAAATATTGGGAATATTCAATTTGTATGTGCATGACAACTCGATAAATGCGCATGCGCGTGTAGCAAATTAATATATGTGTTACTTTTTCGTGTTCACACAGACAAGAGTCACGACCATGGCTGAATCTTTCTGTAGTGAAGAGCGCAATCCACAACTCTAGGTTTTTCATTATGGATCTTGTATATACGGTATGAATGCCACCTGTAAAACTAGCGACCACGAGTTACAATGATATATGACGGAAGTCGCATTCGAAACACGGTGTACTCATTCTTTACGAAACATCTGGCATCACTTCAAGTGTTCCGTTAGGTCCATAAATCTGTTCTTTGACTATTTTTGTCTCTTGATTTGACTATTATACAGTTGTGTACTTACCTGCCAGTGGATTCGTTTCGCTTTATTGTAGTGAACTGTAACTTATTGTAACTTGTAACAATCATCTGATTGATTGATTGTAAATTAATTCCTTCAATATAATATAATAGTTGATATAAATATAATATTTGATATCGATTGAATATATCTAAGTTCATATACCTTAAAACATGTTCATTTATCACAAATTATATATGTGATATATATTTTTGCTGAAATTGTTTATAAACATCGGATTTCGTATTTGTGATAAAATAAAGACTTGAGTATAAAACGGGTATTGCTGTGCATTGTATGTACACATGTCGTAATTTAAAACTTTTGTTTTATACCAATTAACTACACTTATAACACTTAAAATGTATACATATATGTACTAATCCGTGTCATGTAGTTGCCATTCTAGAATGCATGAATAAACTTAGGATTAGGGCAAAGTGTCGAATTCCAAATGTTGAAATCGATGCACTAATTTTCAAAAACACCAATATTTTGCTTTTTAATTTATTAAAACAAAACAAACATTTACACTACTTAAATTAATGTCCCCCGAGGTACATGTGTCGGCTATTCGTTAATTTGATTTCCATCACAACAATACACTCATAAGAAGTGAATAAAAAATACGCATCTAATGATGGTTCTATGTTCAACTCAAAAAATTTTATTTAGAAATTTGCTTCGAATTTTTCGATTTCGTGGCAGGTGTTTTAAACTATTATGGAAAATTTGTCCAGATCACAAAGACGCCAGTGGATGCAATGCAGACGTAGGAAAATGAAAAGATTTTATGCTAATTATACAGAAGTGTTACGTCATTGTTACGTACTGTAAATACGAAATTATCTAATCTCGGGGGTGAAGCTAGTCACATAACATTGTACGCCGCTATGACGCGCATCACTGTGCCAGGTATTTTTATGGGTTCTATGGCGCAAGCGGCTGTGGAACGCCGTCAAATAGCCGGTTAAGACAGAACGTCGCGATCGGGAAAACAGCACAAACTATGAGATAAACAACGAAAATGTTGTAGGGGTAATATTGTTATATTTATTTAGGATAGTCTAATCAACTAGCGCAACGTACAGTTTTTCCGGGTGTGTTTGCATTCGACTCGTTGGCTGTCCCTGAAATGATAATGGATGTACGAGGGAATGTGGAATTGTGGCTCCTCTTATTCTTGGAATATTGATACACTGCTGCAATGTTTCTTTTAGCTTGTTTAATTGTAGGCAATATTCTGGTTCATTGTAGCAATGTTGTTAAAAAATACAGCGATGTGAATTGCAAAAATGCCAGCGGATTGTTCTCGCGACGATAACCACACAGGTTAAAATCACATGAGTTCGTGAGTAGAGGCTTGTTTGTAAATATCGACATCACTTTTACTGACAAAAAAATAGGACATTACTTTCGATTTCCTATGAGTACGCGTCCCAGCATGCGACTTCGTAGGGGTACGCTTCGCAGTCATTGGTGGGCGTGGTTTAAATGACAAGTTTCAACTTTTAACCAATATAACCAATAGATCATTTCTTGACAGCCACATGAACATCAGGTGGGTATTAATTGCAAAAGAAAAGAATAAATTGTTGTTTTGTTGTAATAATTAAAACAGCAACATATTGGTGTTTTTGAAAGGCTGTGCATCGTTTTCATCATTTGGAATTCGACACTTTGCTCTAATCACAAGTTCATTTATGTATTATACAATAGAACAAACGAATGATCACCATATGCCACGGATTTGTACTGTTATGCACTCCGATTGTTAATATTATTTGTAAACCATATTTCACATGTGATCACAATAAACTTTAATAACCACTGAAACTAAATTAGACTGGTTTATAGTATTCCAGAATAATTTTGATGAAAATAATATTAATGTGGTTCACTAATTTGGTTGTAATTTTTTTGAAAAGTGGTGATGAAAGTAATGATTAAGCCAATCTATTTAAACATTTAATTGCAGATAATATATTCGATATTTGTTATGATGTCTTAAATATCCCGTTTATTAAAGGAAACGTCCGAAACTTTTTTTTTTATTAGATGTAACATATTGACAATGAGTTGTCCGCAATTAGTACATGGTTCTGTGAATTTAGATCTGCTGCAATACAATTTACGGTATTTTTTCACCAATTTCAGTATCAACAGATATGTTGTGAAAGCGTGTGGTAAATTAAAGATGTCATGTAATGTTACTTTTAACTCATTATGCAAATTCACTGCTAAATAGTGTAAATGATTAAAAATGTTGCTGACTCATTTCACTATACTCAAGTCACGAACAATAGCCAATGTACAAAACAAATTGCACATGTTACTTTTTTTACATGTGTAATTATTGTTTAATAACACAGACCACGGATCAATGCATCGTTACTGTTTCGTAAACATTTGCACCTTTTTTAAAACTTACCTTATAACATGACTTCGTTCATAAAATACTACATCCATAACACTAGAAATGAAATTGTGAGACAAGAAATTGATATTTGTGCCCCATGTCAAAATCGGAGATATAATACTGTAACATGTTTTTAACCTTGTTGATATTTTTCAACCAGGCAAATTTGAGTAAAAGTGTATCACTCTTAGACTGAATAATGAAGCTATATAGTGAATAAAGTACTCAACACAATGGATACTCCTTGTCTCTTTTATTGTTGATGGCTTGGATAAGATCATACTGTTACCTATAATATACTGAACAAATTGGAAAAGTACAGGCAATGAACACGATATTTACTGAAAACAAATAATATATTCTACACAGTTTTGCCGGATAAAGCACAATAAAATACAGTCACTGTAATGACATGATAATTAAAGATAACGCGAATGAACACATTTAAATATGAAGGCTAATCACGTCTACGTATTAATTCCCTTTTCTTCGATGAGTCAATATAGCGTAAACTGTGCTCAAATTAAACTGATAGTCCCGATGTTATTTAGAGCGAGCATACTATACGATTTTCTCTTTCGTTGAAAGCTATTGCTTGCGATGGTAACTGTCATTCACCAGCATCTTTGCTTGCATATCATCCGAATAGAATCTCTTAAAACCTTTGAACAGGCTTACTATCAGCCCTCATACCGTTTTGTGTGACTTACGCTTTATGTGGTACTGTTCCTGTCTCCGCATGTCTATAGGTTACTGTTATTATCTACATAATATTCCTCGATTTAGTTGCTCATTCTATTTTCAATTATTTATTCTTACCATACACAATATTTTACTTTTATTTGAATTTATGTTTTTAAAATGTTGGTAATCGCGAAAGCTCACATAGATCTGACACAATGTCCGTAAAATCCCGTTCAAATCTTGTTTAAACTACAGAAATTACAGCTAGTCTTTTTGTACTGGCCAACATCGTCCCCGGGGGTCACTTTATATTAGACCTTACACCATGTGTGTTCTTGCTAAAAAATAATAGGCCCCTAGGGCTGGAAGCACATTGCCAAACCATACCCACTATTGCGGACGCACTGTAAGTTTAGTACCCCCTAGAGCAGACCCCATATTGCAGACATATATTGAGAACATCCTACTCCTATTGCGAGCATTCTCTGCCGTTTTTGTTCACTCAAGTGGGGTTTGTATGGGAGTGTAGGGAGGTGTATGGGGGTGGTTGTTGCAAGAGGAAGCCTACAACGAGTGCAGTAACCTTGTGAGTTTATTGCTGGGGGCCTATTGCAGACATTAGAATTTTAAAGGGGCCCGCTTTAGAAGATGAAAAACATCCCCTTTCCCTGCTAAATTTGGAACGTACATGGGGGTAGTAACGGCATATAGAGTGACCCCGGGCATCGTTCTCAAGGAAGGAAGTAATTAAAAAGCAACGAACAATAAAAAGAACGTGTTTCGTGGCGTGGATTTCATTTTGAAGACAATCATCTCAATCAAATGTTGGCTAGCGGAAATACCATGGAAAGGTGGTTAGATACTCCAGTCATTTTTATCAATTGAAGGCTAAACACGGCAAGACATGAACCATCTAGGTCGCCATTGCTCCAGTAATCTAGTAGATTGGCTTTTGTTTATTTAAATTACAATAACAAAACTCGGAAAAATAGTTTTGCAAAATTTCATGTTCATGATTTCATGTAGATAAATATGCTCGCCAATTTATCTTGACCTCTGACAATTTGTTGGGATTTTCATCATCGTACTGTGTTTCACGTTTACAGGTTTTATCTCAAAATTTGCACACCGTTATTGAGGATGATATTATCAAGTGTACATTGGCTGTTAGAAAATGTCAGTTTTCCCTCTAGTATTTGTTATCCACCACTGAGATTCAACAACATTTTACAATTATTGTCGTTACATTGAACTTTTTTCAATTTCCAACAAATGTGAACAATTCCCGCTGTATCTTCGTCAGCCTAGGATAGTTTATTCAGCCATCTACTCACTGATGTTGAGAGTTCAACTTTACAC